CACTTATGTCCATATAAGCTTGTCTACATTACTACATCATTAATTAAAATCATACTCCCTTTAAAAGCACGAGTTCGAAAAAATCTTTTAGCAGACAAAAATATCATTGGAATTCAAATACTAATCCATTAAGTAAAAATAAGTTAATAAATTGATGAATTCTTATTGGATATACATAGTATGAAGATAAGGATATAGTTTAAATTGAAATGTAAACATGAATGAAAGAGCGACTTAGGTAAATTAGACGATTTATTAAATACCAAATTTACCCCCTTGCTCTTATATGTGATCAATGATCAAACTGCAAACAATTATTCACGTGCTACATGATTAATTATGCCAAACCGAGAACAATTATTCACATGCTATATGATTAATAATTACACACAACGTGGCAATCTCTCACCGACTAAAATTCAAGTAGTTCATGATACGCTTAAGTTAATTAGACGATTTATTAAATGTCAAATTTACCCCCTCACTCTTATATGTGATAAATGATCAAACTGTAAAAAATTATTCGTGTGCTACATGATTAATTATGCCGAACTGAGAACAATTATTCACATGTTATATGATTAATAATTATTCACAACTGAGATTATAATACTTATATATGGGGTTTGGTTAAAATAAATTTCATGTATGGGGTTAACTTATATGATACTACTTTAATCGAATTAGATAATTTAATATTTGTTCTTTACACTCAAACTCTTCCATAAAACTAAGAGATTTATAAAATTAATCTTGGGGGTTTCTTGTATTAAAAAATTATGTTAGAGGACCCATACAGTATGTTTTATAGTTTAAGATTGTCAACACATTTTGTCACTTTTGCATATCAATTATGAGTAATAATATAATTTAATTGATTCAAGTATATCTTAATATATTTCTAGACTCTGATCTTGTCTTTTGCTCTTTATCATGTACAAACCTAGCGATTCTTATTCAATTCCTTCTTTTTTCTTTTTTGTCTCTTGATATTATCTATTGTTCTTCATTATGTACAAACTCATTTCATGGATTAGGGTTATGGTTTTTGAGGGGAAGCACAAGACAAATGGGTTGATTTTGGTATTGGACTTTATTATTTGAAGAGATCATTTTCAAGAAATTCAACTCCAACATGATATTACAATTAATGTAGATGATGAAGACGCTACTCTAGAATTGTCCAATAAAAAGATGTAGGTGGAGAAAGATTGATCTCGGCTCAATTAAAATATGAAACAAAAAGAATAAATGATAATATTTTCTGAACATTTTATACTATAACTTAATTTTTGAGTAAAATTAGAAATTTTTAGAATGAATTTTCATGCAAAATTTTTAGTATTTTTGTATGATTATGTGATTGCTTAATTTTATCACATAAAATTATACTATAGTTACCATTAATCTTTAGTTTTGTCTTTTTATTATTTAAGTCTATCAAATAATGTAGGCTAAGATGTCATATATATATCATGTTTATCGTACTTTTTTTTTATATTTGCTTTTGAGATTGTTTATTATAAAATATGAGCTTATAATGTTGAAAAACACAGTGTAATTCTATTTTCAATGCAATAAGAAATATTATTTTTTTATTGCTAGAACTATAGTTCATAATGATATTGTTATTCATCCTTGACTCTATACTATAGCTTGGGATTAGTAGAGTTTAGAATATGACATTTAGTATCAATTTAACTTATTTTATTTTACTATTCTGCTTGAAAATGTTATTATGTCAACTGATATATTTTTTGCGAAAATCAATTATGATATCCCAGTTAAGTATATTGATCCCAGTTTAGCACAAAAATCCATTACATCAAATTTTTTTATAATGTTTAAATAAAAATTATAGCAAATCTAATAAATAAAATGAATCTGAACTATTTATAGTAATAAAATAAAAAATAAATTATTTTGATATTTAACCACATGCAATGCACGTGCATAAAAACTAGTCTAATTAAAAATATCAGCCTCTTAGTTTTCAAATGTATCGTCAAAAAAGAAAAGATAATTTCTCTTTTTCCTTATTTGGTTTGTAACTTACGTCTAAATATGGGTAAATTTAGCAAAAACCTCCAAACATTTAGAGTCCTTCCCACAAAGCCCCTATGAATTTTGTTTATTCCACTAAATCATGAAAACAACTTCCACGAAACCCCACACCCAGATTATCGTCATTAGTTTTAAAGAAATGATAGGGGCACAACTTAAACCACACCTCCAACCACACCCCATCTCCCATTCGCTACAGTACTCCGGGGCCCCACATGTGAGTTTTTAAATTTTAAAAACTCATGTGGGGCCCGGAGTACTGTAGCAAATGGAAGAGGGGGTGTGGTTGGAGGTGTAGTTTAGGGTGTGCCCCTAACACCACTCTTAGTTTTAACAGCCGCATGTGCAAAGCATGTGGCTATAAATGACGAGAATACTCCTCTGCAACAACAACAAAAAAATCCCTTATTATATGAATCCTTAATTTATATTTTGGTTGATTGGTAAGTTTGGATGGTTTGGATTAATAGAACATCGGGTTGTTTCTTCATTAATGGTGGCGTTTGTGTATTGTAGTTAAACAGTAAAGCCATCATAGGGTGAATTTTTTTTCAAAATCAATCCTTTTGCAAAAATATTCCCTAAAAACGACATGTTTCAACTTTAATTAACAAAATCGACCTAGTTTTAGCCTCAGGACTGAAACTGGATCGGTTTTGGCAAAAAAAAGTTCCCAAATTTCACGGGAGTTCAACTCTCGTGAAGTTTTTACATAACAAAACTTCACGGGAGTTAAACTCCCGTGAAGTTTGAAAACTTTTTTCGTCAAAACCGACTCAGTTTCAGCCCTGAGACTAAAACTAAGTCGGTTTTGATAATTAAAGTTGAAACATATCGTTTTTTAAAAATAAGTTTTAAAAATGGTTTGTTTTGAAAATTTGTCCCATCATAGGGTTAGATGGGAAAAGTTAAAAGTTTTCAAGAGTTATTCGTGACACTTTGAAGCTTTGTGGAAAATTTTGGGTGTTACTGCAGGAAACACGGCCGAAGTTTTGAGGGTTTTGGGCACACCTTTCCCTACATAATTTCTAGTTGGTAAGCAAAAGCTACAAAATGTAGCGTAAATTGGACCCTGAAGAGATTGACTGGGTCTGGCGGCTTCAGCCAGACTGCGGTCTACACGTAAAATGATCAATGTCAGGGGCGGGTAGGAAATTTTATATTGGAGGGTTAAGAATCCAAGGTACATAAGTATATTAGTAATAATCAATTAATATTTGAGATATTTTTAGGTTGATTGTACTTAAATAAAGATCACACAGTTTCTCCTCTAGTTTGCACTTATACATACTCACTTGTTTTTTACAACACTTACATGAGTTCACAATTATACATCCTAAAAGTTTTTAAGTCTAGCACTTTAATACCCTCAATTATGAAACATGAGAACCCTCACACCCGAGAGAAAAATATTTTTATGAAACACTCAGTTTTGAAACATTTTAACTCTTAATATTTTTAAAACTATTAAAATACTATTTTAAGATAGATTCGTAGTTGGTTAAAATAAAAATATTATAGGTTTAATAGTAAATTCAACAATAAATTAAGGGTTAAAAGTTCTAACTTTAGCATATGAGTATCAAAAGAGAATTTTCCGGGAGAAATTTCATTTGTGTAACAATAGGGTAGTAAAATGTAAAATTTTAAAAATTTAGGTGTGACATGCTGACAGAGACAAGTAAAGTATATATATGTGCAAAGTGGGGGAACCTGTAAGGGATTTAAGTGCAACTAAGCCATGATTTTAAGAAGGATATAAATATGTAAATTGTTGTATATAACCACTATATATATAAGCAATTTCGAAAAAGTTTGGGGGGCCAAGCCCACCAAGCTAGTGATAGCTTTGCCTTATAATTGACGAGAGATGACATTAGAACTATTTGAAAAAGAGAATTCACCAAATCTTATAAAAATAGTCATCTGAACATAAGAAGGGATAAATATGTTTTTTTTCATAATCAAGATCCACAACCCGTTCAGTCTTCTCTCTTTTCTGTTTGGATGCACTATAATTAAATACACTTAATTTAGCGTAAGTATATTCCTTATCAAAATTCATTAAAGCTAGGTAAATGTAACTCTTCTAAGATCGCCCCATTTATGTTGTATACAACTTGAAATTGTTAGTGGGATATAGAAACGAGACAAAATTTGAGACGTGAAGATCACAACAGATTATGAAAATTCTGGGAAATAATGATCAGCAACAAGCGTGTAAAGTGCATCAAAATCGCGCTACCTACACATGGATTTTAAAATATATGTTTTGACTCATTTATCAAAGTCCAATAATCATTAAATGTTTAAACCTCTAGAAAGATGTTTAAATATCTGATGTGGGGCTATCTTCTTTTTACAAATAAATACTAGCAGAAATAACAGTAAACCATAAATGTTTCGTTTACTTAGTTGATCCAAATTAGACACAATCTCTTGTCATATTTCCTTCATGATGTAGATAGGTGCTTGAGCTTTCATGCTTTTGCTTAAAGGAAATCATGTGGCTGGTAAAAATGAACTAGCATAAACGTCAATTTTTTTTTGCCTGCTGAGCAATTGTTTTCTTGTTTCCTCCAACCGATTCTAGAATGATGAAAATAACAAGACTAGTCAACCCTTTATACATTCACACACGTATACCTAAGCCCCAGCTTATCTTCACCAATATCTAAGTAATTCATCCTCGTTCCTTAATTCTTACACATGGCCTACACATTAATTAATCACTAATTAATTGATTATACCCATGAATTTCCCCTTTAATCCTTTGCTAATATTTCCACATCCTTACCTGTCTCCTTACATTTCTTTAGTTGCAAGTCCCCCTATTTCACGTCTTTACTCCCAAATCAACCCTTTCCCAACAACTTTTTTTCAGTTTACCCCCCCAACCTTATAAATACCATCCCCTCTCATTAATTCATTCATCAACCAAGCAATAAAGAGAGCAAGGAAAAAAAAAATCCAAGTTAAGACTCCCGAAGTCTTCTTCCACCAAAAATGAACAAGACCTCTCTCTTCACCCTCTTCTCCCCTCTCCTCCTCCTCTTCTCCTCCTCCGTCGCCGCCGACCCCGACATGCTCCAAGACCTCTGCGTCGCCGATCTAGCCTCCGGTAACAATATTAGTCTTTTTCGCCTCCTAGTGTATGTATATTCTGTATCTATTTTTCTAGTCAATAAATACTCCGTCTTTATCTCGCAGCGACCAAAGTTAACGGGTACACATGCAAACCCGCATCCGAAATCAACATAACGGACTTCTCCTTCATGGGCATCGCCAAGCCGGGATCCACCAACACCACCATGGGCTCCCTCGTCACAGGAGCCAACGTTGAGAAAATCCCAGGCCTCAACACCCTCGGGGTCTCCATGGCTCGCATAGACTTTGCGCCCGGCGGCCTCAACCCCCCTCACACTCACCCTAGAGCCACCGAGATGATCTTCGTGCTCGAAGGCACGCTCGACGTAGGATTCATCACCACAGCCAACAAGCTCTTCATGAAAACAATCACCAAAGGTGAAGTGTTTGTGTTTCCAAAGGGACTGGTGCATTTCCAGAAGAACAACGGCAATGAGCCTGCATCGCTGATTTCGGCGTTCAACAGTCAGTTACCGGGGACCCAGTCGCTGGGCGCGACGCTGTTTGGATCGTCGCCGGCTGTGCCTGATAATGTTCTGACTAAGGCTTTTCAGATTGGGACTAAGGAGGTTGAGAAGATTAAGGGAAGGTTTGCTCCTAAGAAATGAAAGTGTTGATGATCTGTTTGTTTTGATAGCTAGTATTATTGGAAGCAAATTGAGTTTGTTTATAATTGGAATACTATCAATCATGTGCTAATAAGTTGTGGAGATCTGAAAGCGAAACGATTCAGTGCTTTTGTTGTTGAGGGAATAAATTGCAAATTATGGGAGTAGTTGTTCATTAGAATTTTTTTACTTTATATTATTTCAGTAGGTAAGATCTCTAGGTTTTTGTTGGCAGGGTTAGTTGAGATGAGGGTCCATCGAAAGCACCAAGACATAAACAATTAGATTCTTCTTGTCTTGTCCCTCATGTATATGCTTTACACTTCACTAGCAAAGACACTACAAGAGCATGGGAACAAATATGTTCATCATTTTTTTTTAATTTACAGTGTTTAGCTAAAAATGTGGGTCTTGTAGGCGAACTACTAGGACTTGCATCTGGGTATATGATGATCAAGTCTATTTCTGAAAAAAAAAAGATAAAAAGGAAAAAAGAGACGGTTAAAAACTCAAAAAACATGCTATGTGCTTTTTTCTTTTCCTAACCACCAAGCCCACCATTTGGCAACTGCAGCTTCTTTTGTGATCAAGCTCAAGCAGGGTGTTTCTTGTAAAGGTATATAAGCCCCTTTCCTCGAGAATGATGTCTAATCTGATGAAGGTCACGCACACACAAAATGGCTTGTTGAAAGACAAATATTTTTAACTACTCTGGACCTATGTTAGCCATGAAACAGAGCTGTTCATTGCTGAACCTGTAAGATGCCATGCTAGTTGCAGGCTTCCAGTATACGTGATTGGTTCAGTTGAGTTGACACTAAGTTCCAGCAGAAGTTTTCATTTCAATCAGTTTGATCATGGAACTCTCACACTCCTATTTTCGCCAAATTGTTGGATGCCAAATTTCCTAAATTGTTATTTCAGTATGAGCTACATCACTCGTCGTATTCTTTCTGATCAAAAGGTGTGTATTTTCTGTACTGATTTTCTAAGTTCTTGTTGGCTATCGTACTTTCAGGATCGAGTATTACTAATACAACCAATAATTCCAAGGGTCAAGGGTCAAAGGTCAAGAACCTGTCTCTACCCAGCAATTTCTTTGAACATGAACAAGACTAGTATAAACGCAAACTAGTAACAATTTAATTTCTTCGTTAATTTTGACTTTTTTTAGGATGTGGATGGCGTTCTCGATGTCAGAACTCCAGCTAACCAAGCTATTCTGAAAGCACCTTGTATTTGTACAGGTATAAATTTATAAATAAGCATGCATTTTTTATGACAAAATAAATAGAAACCATATTATCCTTCATGGGACAATAACGTAAGAAAACTCATAGGGGCTTCACGATTGCTAATGCAACAATGTAAAAGCTCAATTCTTATGTTCTACCTGTATTATGATATATAAAAAAGTATCCTTAGGAAGATAAAGCAAACATACATCACATAGATGCATATTTACTGCTAGAAGAAACTTACAAAATTCACAGTTATCTTCTTCAAGGAAGTGGCCTGGACACAGTTTAATGGGCAAAATACTTTAAAAGACACTTTTCAAACGAGGAAGAACAATTTTGTCAGGTAAATAAACATGTTGATATAAGGGAGGCCAACTTAGATGATTCTAATCAATCGATTCATATAGTACTCTCTGTTCTATCCACAAATACAATATATAAAGATGATTCCAATGGACTAGTTCTATATGATATCAACAAGAAACTGGACACTGATAGCAATACTCTCGAGCAATGATACAGATGAGGAGGCATACAGTTAATTGCAGTTTATCATTAATTTGAAAGTCTCCACAAATATCATAAAATATAGAGTGGAAAGGGAACAAATAACAGGTATAAATACAGGAGTTGATACAACAACAACAACAACATCAAAGCCTTTATCCTAAATTTGTGGAATGGGACATACACACGCACAAGTATATTAATATAGAGGATGTAATATGGTTGCAGATGTAAGAATTAAGGGTCAGTTTGACAACTCAAAATTGGGCCAGATTTGAAGTTGGACCAGGCTCGATTAAAGAGTGTTCTTTTGTCTGGCAAAAATTGTTGCCTGGAACGTCCCAGTTTGTTTTAGTTCAAATTGTGGACCCGGGGGAGTTGGTCGGCAACTTAACCGGTTCTGGCCAGAACCAGATTCAGGATCAAAATCTAACCAGTTTAATGTGTTGCCAAATACACCACAATAGACGGAACAGGTATTCCAAGATAAAATAGACAAATATATAGAGGGAATTTCTCAGGTGTAATCATTGGCTACTGCTCCATGGTATCAAAAGGGCAAAGAATAACCATGCAGATCAAGGGAGGAAACGGAAAGCTCGCAGTCATATTCATTGATTCTGAAGTGTGAGATTCCTTAATAATAACAAGCCTTTGCTCAATAAACAAGGAATAATAGCAGACATATTCTCTCTTTAATTGGAAAAGAACATCACATTTTAAAGGATTAGGGAGGTGATAGATACAAAAGCTAGAATGCTTACTTGTTAAGTTTGTGTCACTCATCCAATTGCTATCACGTAGACTGCAGGAGACAATATTGGCTATCAGGATAACCATTGGTGTAGGTTACAATGGATGACCCGCTAGGATTTTTTTTATAGCAGCACACAATAACTCTTATGGTCATTTGCGACCTGCTATTACTTGTGATAGGAAGAATGGATATATGAGAGTTTGAGATGATGAAGAAGATGGTTAAAGGCTTGAAAAATGTGTGTTCCCCCCTTTTCTGGTTTTATATCTCCATATTATAGCGAAATCTCTCGTGTTATATCCCATACAGTAGGTAGGGTTTGGCCAAAGGATTTATAACCGCATAAGTTCTCCTCTTCCCTAGTGTGTTAATACATGAGTTTGAAGTTACGTCATTTATCTTCAGGTGGTTAAAAATGAGGGAATTCTCATCTGTGCAAACATTGGACAAGAACTCTTCAATCGGTTACAAAAAGGAAGATAATGGTAGCAATGCCTAACAAGATAACTGTATATCTAAGGTAGCTGATCCATAACAACCTCAACTAGCTTATCGGTTCTATGAAAGGGCACCTTTGCTTAGATTTACTTTTAAGAGGATTCTCACACGGACTCATTGTCATAAATGTCTCAACAGTAGCATGAGACTTCTTAATAAGATACAAAGTCACTGTAAATATAGACTTACCAAAAGAGTAGAAAAAATTACGTTAAAAAATGTTGTGTTTGGTGCATTTAAGTGAGCCACTTTCCCTTTTTCTCCAAAATGGAGAGTTGAGAAAATTCTAAGCATACATCTCACAAAGATCTGACATCACTAAAGACACCATCAATTATGTTACAAAGTATTCACTACTTCGATACTAACTCCTTTATGAAAGCTAATCCAAATCCAGATCATCTGAGGGTACTATCCCAATTTATTATCTCGTTCGCTTTGCTTAGCATTAAATAGAAAGAAAGGCAAGAGAAAGAGTATGACAACTAACCAAACACAATATACATAGCTCTCTTAAACTTCACTTGAAAAGCAATATCATATCAAGTTAGTAAGCTTGCCAAATTCAGAAAGAGAAGATATAGTAACACTCAAATGAGAGCTACTTTCATTCAAACACGAAGAATGATGTTATATATATGCATGTAATGTACACAAATGCGGAGGAGAGGGTATATCATAAACAAGAAATTTATTTCACAAACCTCACACTTCCTCTCATGCCGACTTCTCCTCCACAAGCGATTCAAGAACGCAAGACTTTGGGTTCACCATCGGTGGGCCCTTCTCCCTCCTCTCAAGCTCATCAAGATTGAAAGTAATCAACCTATCCCAATTCCCTCCTTCAAACAACACCCCAGCTTTCCCATCAGTAACTCTCTGCACAATCCCGCAATACATATGGAAAGGATTATTCTTATTCTTCACAATGACAATCATCCCCGGCATTAACAGAGGCAAGTCAGGAGCTTTCGGCTTCGAGCCTTGGAACACAATACCTGCTTCCTCATTAGCTGAACTCTTCTTTGGTGGTGGGTTTTCCTGGATGAATTTTTCGAGGCCCTTTTCGCCTCCGGGGAATCCACCAGTTAAGCCCATTAGCTCCTTCTCAAAGGCATCATTGTCATCAAATGAAGATGACGGGGTCGGAGAAGGCGGAGTTGGTTGGGACTGTGACCCTGTAGATGGGTCTTGTTGGATTTGCCTCTTGAGCTCTTTTTGGAGGCCAGCTTCTCCATTGCAGAGGCCTCTGCCTCCCATGATCTCAGAGAGATTGAACTTGGCATGGGGAGTGAAGATGAGTCTATGAGATGAGGATGAGGGAGCAGAGAGATGGGTTTTGTGAAGTAACTGAGTTTTGTTGAGGAGAGGGTTTTGGATGGTTTGGATTGGGATTGAAGTTGCCATGATTTTTGGGAGGTGAGGAAGAAGAGAGAGAGTTGAAGAGAGGGTGTTTATTTTTGAGTGGAGGAGGTTTCAACTTTCAAGCCAGAGTTTTGGTGCGACGAGCTAATGCTTAAGGTTATTTGATGGGATCATTTGTCAGCGCGTGGCTAAAAACCTGTGGCTTAAAATTTTTGATTAAATTGATGAATAGTTCAGGTACAGTGGAAATTAAATCTGAAGCTTAAGTTTCATTTTCATTTTATTGAGAAATAATAAAAAGAAATAAACACATTATCCTTATTCGCTCTAAAAAGCTTTATCCTTCTAACAATTTACAACTATAATTGCCAGATATTTAGATATAAATACAAGAATTTTTTAAAAAAAATGAAAATGAAAAAGGAAAAATTTATAGCACTTTGGACTGCATCCAGTAGAACTATGATCAACATTAACATACATCATAAAGATCTCAACTTTATGAACCCTAGTGCATCTGTACTCCATAAATAGATCAAACTAAGTATAATTTAGACAACAATTGTGGCTAAAGTGGATTTAGAACAGTAGGGAATACCAAAGTGGATACAGCTGGCGAACTCCCTGCTCCTCCAAGCCCCAAAGCATACATCCGTCTGCACAAAAAAGAAAGAAAAAGAGAAGAAAAAAAAAAGAAAAAGAAGGAATAAAATGGAAAATTCACAGAAACTGCTAACCCTAGAGAGAAATTTAGGAAATGTTTCTTTGTTAATGATTGGTTAAACTTTACATGCGGGAGCTGTGAACTCGAAGACAGCTCTGAAGAGGCGGTAAAAGATCGCCGGCGCGGGGAAGATAATGACGTCATCGCTGACGCCATTTCCTCTGCTGATTTTCTGCACTGTAAATTAGGGTGTCAGGTGAAAATTACGACGGGATGAGGGGGTCGAAGTGAAATCGGTCACAGAAAGTATTGGGCCGGAAAATTTTTGAGATGGGCCTCGCAGAACGTCTATGGACACTTCTTGCGTTTGCGGAACATTACAAAATAGTTTGCATAAGGACCCGGATGATCTGCAATTAGGTGGTAGATAGAGATTCAAACATACATTTTTCATCTTTTTAATAATTTAGTAGGTTGTATTATTTGTAATTAGAGTTGAAAAAAAATTATTAAATAATGAATTTATATATCAACACATTCACTAGTATAGTGCACGTGCACTGCACGTGGGCATACTCATTTTTTATGTTCACTGTGAAGGAAAAAAAATTTATTATAAACAAACCAGATCGTTAAAAAAAAGTGACAATGCAAAGTATGCGGACGAAAGAGTAAGGGAAAATTTTATCAAACTATATTATCATAAAATTCAATGTAAAAGTTTGCATTGAACTGCAATTCTAGATTTTAAAAAAAAAAAAACAGAAGCAACTTGTGGTCTTCTCTTAATACGCTACTTTCTAAAGGTAAGTCGAGTGTTAAAAAAGATGGTGTAACTTCGTCGGACCCGGAGCAAGCCATAGAACACTCAGACAGCAAATAATCTCAATGCCTGTTAGAATGTATCAAATGATCATAGTTGTTGATTATTAGGAACAATGTTATGACTTCAAAGAAACAAAATGAAGCCAAACTAACTTTCAGCAACAGATAGAATGACAGATAGAGCAATATGCCAACATTTAGATATCTAACTACGCCATAGATTATTACTAAGATCTAATCAAGCTTATGGAAATAATTTTCTTGAAAGTACTTTCTTTTTTAATGGTGACCGCGGCTAGGCTGTGAGCCTATTAGACCTCTGGTTAACTATATACAAACATAAATAGAACCATAAATACTACAGAGAACGAATCGGTCAGAACTTGTATGAGCAATGTGCATTGAGAGAGCACATATTGTGGAAACATCTGATGATGTATTTAAGGCATTGACCGAAATGGCCTGAAGTCTAGCTAAGTCAATTCTATGAATATAATATAATACCATTTAAGTGATAAATGTCATCTACATGCTTACATAATTGTAATATCTAAGAGTTCCAGTACTAATAAAATGTTATTCGTATAAAAAGAATCATATATGATCTCAAGCCTAATATCCAGACAGACTGCATTGGAGCAACACTACCCTAATCACCAAGACAAGTACTACTTTTTGAACTTCGTTTGATGGATGTTTGCGAAGATTATTAGTCTAGAAGCACGAAGACCAATTATTTTGAAGATTACACTTGAAAATCCCAATTCATTTCAAGAACCCCTACATTCACTACATAAGTAGCACGAGGAGATAACTCCTAATAATTTCTGCAATTGGATATTAGGTACACATGAGATGGTAATTGAATATGGTTCGGTGTAGCATAATAACGATAAGGATCGACAAACTTAGGGATTTGCACTATTATTAGGGTTCATTGTTGTGTCTTGATAATTACCTAGGTAAATAGTTTCACCAACTTTTGAACTGCATTTGATAAATACTTGCCAAGATCATCAACAAAGAAAGATTATCAGCACTATATTGAGACCAATTCTTTTAACGGTTGCAGGGCTTTTCATGCTGTCAAAAAGATCTGCAGCACAATTGTCACCATGACATGTTTACATATTGAACGCAATAAGCCAAATTCTCATACCAATAGTTATAATTAGAGTAATTGATTAGTATATGTATTCAGTAAAATAGATGTTAGTGACTTATGGTACATAAACGAAATTAAATTTAAGCTACAAGGTTCTTCAAAACTTATTACTTTATGAATGGGCAAGCTCAATAAAAGATACTAAAGAATAGTATCCAGTAGCATGTTATTGACCAATTGATCAAATTTGTAACCAGTTACATGTTAGATCAAAAAACATGATATTTCTTCTTAATAAAAATTAGAATAAAAACTCAAATATAATTTTAACCTTAAGAATAAAAACTCAAATACAATTCTAACCTTAAGAATAAAAACTCAAAATAACATGGTATTTCTTCTTACTAAAAATTAGAATAAAAACTAAAATACAACTTTAACCTCAAGAGCAAATTACCATACTATTTAGCGAGCCATGCTTGTCCATGGTGCTTATATTATATATTAGACATCAAAAATCTTTTCATTTTCATTGAATCAACACAAAAGGAAAAGCTTATAATAGTACAAAAATTGGATAAAATTGAGGAGGTAAACAATTTTCAAAACTCTATTATAATTATTAAAAATTAGATTAAATTTCTCCAATAAACAATGATAATAGCTTACAAAAAGAAAATTTTAGGTATAATTTAATCTTTGTAGTTGAATATTCTTGGTGCAATGGGTAGCAATTCTGGAACTAAAAGGAAATAAAAACTAAAGAAAATAAACTAAAAACTTATCAAAAAAAGGAAAAATAAAGATCAATATTTAAATACAATATTTTTAAAATATAATTAAATTTGAAGAAATAAAAACTTATCAAAGAAAATGTACATAGTCGTACTTTAGGGAGGGAGAAATTTTATTTGAAAGAGGAGAGGGAATGTACACGTTGAGGGATGTTAGGAGGTTGCAGGGGGCTAATCATGAAATGAACTGAGAGAACGTGGGGTGTTGATTGGACATTAATTAACAGGCATTAGAGTGAGTCCTTAAGAGGTTTGTTGGTTAATTATTATATGGAATTTGAAGAAGCAATATGTTAGAGATTGTAATGGTAGTGGATGATTATATAAGCATTGAAGAATGATTGCAAATTATCAAACTTGAGAATCATAATAAATATTGACAAGAGCAAAATAGGCAATCAAAAGTTTTAACACATATATTCTCTTTTATAAGTAGTATAGATATAGATTATTGATTTGAATAAGCAATAACAAGTGCCCAATTTTGGATTGAAAAAAGTTCTGGATGTGGATTAATTATAAAATTTTATTTCTTGTTTTCTTATATCACATGCTTAAATTATAGAGTTTTACCAAATAAGCTATTCAATAGGTGTTTGGGGTAATTAACTAATTTTTGGTCAAACTAGCTTTTAAGCTACTTTTTTAATTAATATCTATTTATTTTGTAAAATATCAAATAAGATAACTTTTAAACCCCATTTTAAAAAGCTGGTATACCCCAACTTTTGAAAAATTAGTTTATATGTTCATTTAAATAAGCTAGGTTTGACCCCCCCAAAAAAAATTATTCTACCCAAACAATTTTTATAGCATTTTTATCATAAAAGCTAAAATCTAGTAAAATCTAGCATAACTTATAAGCTTCAAAGAATAAGCTTTCTCAAACACCCTCTAAATCTTGGGTACCTTTTACATTGAAACCTATGACTAACTTGTCTAACTATAGATCAAAGTCTTTCACTCAAAAAATATACAAAACTCTATTTGGTATAATATATTGTAGAGATAAGGACTTTGTATTAATTTTGAAAAATTAAATACATTTTTAAAAACTTTTGACATACTGTATTAGGACTAATGAATTTTGTTGATAAAATACATGGTAGGAAGCTGAATATCCAAACAAGATGCATGTGTACCTGTATCCCTATCTGTATGAGAAACAAGATACATATGTACGATAACACCATAAACCCTCCATTTACTCCATTTATATTTTAGTAGCTTAATTAACAATTATATTTCCTTAAAACAAGGGAAATCCTTACCTGGCCTTCTCAATAAAAGAAGTACACTCTACGGTATATATATCAGCAACTTTCTGTGGGTACTAATACGGATTAATGCCAAGTTTAAGTTAACAAACACTTGTACGGTTCATTATTCCTACCTTAAACTATATATAGATACCCAAAGAAGTCAAGTCAATTATGTGGAATCACATGCATCATGTTTGCCACTTGATAGGATATTCCATTGCCCATATATATAGGTCATATGGGTTATCAAAACTTTGACAAAATTAATTTGTGTCATTTTCAAACTTTCATGATAGTTATTTAACTCTACACATCAAAACAAATTCATTTGCGAGATTGGGATACATGTATTATTATTTTTTGAGTCTAGATGTAGTACATGCAAATTAGTGTGTATGTAACAAATTTTATTTATTTAGTATGTCAACTAAATAAATATTTTCTGGAATTAAGCTTCTAATTTTTATCCCTACTACCAAAATATGAACAGTTTAACTTATAAACTACAATCAAACTTCAAATAGAAAATTAGTTAAGTGGTCATTTCATCATCATTAACATCACCATCGTCATCTCCCATGTGCTACATCCCCAAAAGTCTGACAAAAAACATGAAATGCCATAAAACCCGGCCCAAATTCCTCATTCCTCTCATAATCTTCTTCATAACTTGATTATAATTATTATGATAACTATGATAGTCATAACAACTAAATTATACACCTACACCAACTTCTTAGTTTCAGCATGATCCTTAGAATTTATTTGACTAACACATTAAACTATTTGCTGCGACCACGTAATAAAATAAATTTTCCCTTGTGCTGCTACATGCCAATTCATATTACTTCTAACTAACAAAAGGAGCAGCAAGGGGGGAAAAAAACAACTAGACAAGTTGATTGACTTTGAAAAAGTCAACTGATTGAGTTTAAAGTATTTCTCAACAGTTCCCCATTCTGAAAGTACATGTCATGTACCTTCTTATCCACAATGATGGTAAATATTACCAAACATCCACTCACTACTCCAACTACCCAACAAATTTCAGAGCTATGCATGTGAGTAGTTATGTCGGTTTCTCGCAAAAGACAGATCAAATGGCATAAGTATAATCATTTTAAATTATAATCTTGCATTAGTCAACTAACTGAAACAGTTATATATAGAGAGGATGAGGAGATGCATTGGCATAGAAAGAGCCAATAAGAGAGATACTCGCAAAGATAGCCAGTGATCGAACATGGCTCTGAGAATTGCAAGTGCATTGGTCATGCTTTTCACATTGCTCATCTCCGACCTCGGAGGTTCGGCGGCTTTCTATGGCGGAGGCGACGCCTCGGGTACAATGGGTGAGTACCTCGTACTTCTTGTTATAATATCTATATATATCGCGGTAAAAAGATTCAAATGAGTATTGTGGATTTAATTCAGGCGGCGCTTGTGGATATGGAAACCTGTACACCGATGGTTACGGAGTGAAAAATGCAGCGCTGAGCACCGCGCTGTTCAACAGCGGAGCTTCCTGTGGCTCCTGTTATCAGATTGTCTGTGACGCTGCGAAGGACCCGCAGTGGTGCAAGAGAGGCACGTACATAACAATCACCGCCAAAATTTCTGCCCGCCGAACTACAATTGCTCCGAGTAACAACGGCGGGTGCCGAGAAAGCATTTCGACATGTCTCAGCCTGCTTGGGAGACCATCGCCATATACCGCGGAGGAATTGTCCCCGTGTATTACAGAAGGTAACAATGACCATAAATTCTGGGGTTAATTGCAGGCAGTTTAGCCAGTTCGATCTTAACTACCCGTCTAGTTCTGTTGCTGTTGCGGATACACCCCTCGAGTAAAATTTCTAAACATATTTCACTCAGGGGGTATACCTGCTACAATAAAACTAGAGGACTCGGGGCGTGAGATTCACTGGTTGCCAATTATATATCATTCCTCCGAATTGACATAGTATTTTTCGAACACGAGATTTGCAGGGTTCGGTGCGGGAGGACTGGGGGCGTGAGATTCACGATCAACGGAAGGAACTACTTCGAGCTGGTTCTGGTGACCAATGTAGGAGGAAGCGGGGTTGTGTCAGCAATGTGGATCAAAGGTTCGAACACAGACTGGCAAACGATGAGCAGGAACTGGGGGATGAACTGGCAGAGCTTCTCGTACCTCAACGGACAGAGCCTGTCCTTCAGGGTGCAGACCGACGACGGAAGGGTCAAGACCTTCTACAACGTGGCGCCCTCTAATTGGCAGTTCGGTCAGACCTTTTCGACGTCGTACCAGTTTTAGTCACTTGTTGTCCTGCAAACACAGAGTAGGAGCCATCAACAGCTTGTTTCCAATTGCTATGCCCATACTCTCTTTTTTTTTCTCTTTTTTTTTTTTTTTGTGAGTGTGTGTGATGTCTGAGGTTTGTGTTACTTGGATTGTGGCTAAGTATTGAAGTTAGCCCACCAAAAGTAACATGGATACAAGGAATGAGTGGTGTGCAAGTATTTGAAGAGGTTATGGTGTGTATCATACAGCAGTTGCTTTAGATGTTTTAGGTAAAGCAACCTCCCTGTACAAAGATGGCCTTTTACAAGTTGATTCCAAGAATAAAATATCATTTCATCTAAAGTGGGAAAGCGAATGAGATGCCTCAGATGCTTAAATGTGCTTTAACTTTCATTTTCAGCATGTTTAGTGTTAATGGATACCTTTCTTCAGAACGTGAAGCTCTAAGAAATAATTAATAATTACAAGAACTAATAATATAATAGTATTTGGGATGAAAATAAGTCACTACAAATATAGGTTTCTTCTCCAACTCAGTGTTTAATATGTTGATGCGCTTCTGAATGTGACGAGAATCAAGTAATTTCCCCACTGTTTTTCTTGGAAGCTATGGAGAGAGCGTATTTTATGCTTTATTCTCATTCATCACCCATTTGTGCATGCGTAGTAAAAAGCAGTTGCACAAGCAAAGAATCAAAACCTAAAACACCACAACTTTAACGGGAAAAAAAAACAAAAACAAACACAAAAACAGGAGTACCACAGGCTACTGAAAGTAACTAAGAACACAATATATGAATTCAGCATCCGAAAGACCATCAAACGAAAATTAGCTCACGAACAATAAATGAGAGACCATATTCTCCTGCAGCAAAATTTACAATAGCATCAAGAAACAGAGGAACGGGAACCAAGACTAAACTTCATAACACCCCCGCTCAGAATCAAAGTTACAAAACCTTTCTTTTGGATTTGGAGGACTAAAGCATATCCGTAAGCTAGCTATGAAGAAGCACAATGAATAATAGAACAGGCCATGACCACGTTTCCTGGTTTGAAGCTATCAGAAGAAACCATGACACAAATAGAGCGAAGAAAAGATGATATTGTAGCGCAAGTTGATTCAAATTTCATGGTTTTCACTCCCCTTCAATAGATTTCCCATGTAATGCCACTTCGAACTTTTCCCAAAATAGCAATTCCACGCTCCTTCAGCCAGCCTATCAACCACACAAGAGTTGGCTTCCTCGCTGAAGACACCGAGATTACTGATCCCCACATGTAGCTTTCCAGAAAATATCGCTCCCTCACTATCTTCTTTTACTTCGCTCTCGTAATTCCAACGCTCTAATCTCAACAGAAAACAGCATGCTTCAATGTGATCACCATAGACGCTGTTGTTAACTTCATCATCATAAACTTGAACCACTCCACGCCCACTCTTTTCTCCATGGACGAGTAATATTTCTTTCGTCGCTTGCCTTTCTGATAACATAAACAGATAAAATGCTGTGAAGCATATTGCAGTAGAAGATAATAGAGGAAAGAAATAGATAACAAGTTTTAAGATCAAAGGACACAACGAGGACAGAAGAAATGCAATAAAGATTAAGAAGGCAGCAATAAGTTGATCATGCAAGGAGGCATCTAGGCGAGAGTAAAGGGTTTTCATAGGAAGAAAAAAATTGGTGAGCATAGCTAATTAGAAGGGCTAAAGATTAGGCTAGACTCGAGATCAACCTGCACCAGGCTTTTAAGAAGGAGAATATATTCTTTGGATTTAATGGTGGGTCATTACTACTAATAAGCTGGGTCTATATTCTTTGCTAGTGGAAGCAAAGTTACATAACAGAACATTACTTTTTCAAACATTGTTAAGAGGTAGAAAGGAATGCTTAGAATATGAATTAACAATAGTTTAGGGCCTAGCACTAAAGTTGTTTTTTGAGATTATACAAACCTGACAAAACTCTAAAAGATAAGATGTGTCCTGAAGTGTGAACGGTAAGGGGCTGTTTGGTTCATTTCCATAAAATTATGGAAATGGATTCCCCTAGTAAAAAACCAAATTCAATTTTTTTTTAGGATATCTAAGGAATCCAAAACTTGTGTTTGATTTGGAATGATAAAGCAAATAATAGGAAAGCATATCCAAAACTCATGTTTATTTCATTTTCAAAGAATAAGAAAAGAACCATCATAGAGAGAGAGAGAGGAAAAGCCGAGCTAGCAAATATATCAACTTTCTAGCCTATTTCCAAGCCAAAAGATAGGATTTGTGCTCTCCAAAAAAAGTCGTCGTTTTATCACTTTTTAAGAAACTCATTCTTAAATTTTTTTTTTTGAAACAAACCCAACTTTTGGAATCCTAAAATGGCCCAAAACCTACTTTTTGTTCTAAAAATGCTAGTTTCCTAAAATTTTGACCCAAACAAACAGCCAAGCCAAAAATAATATAGAAAATACAAACTAAAGCAGCTATAGTGCTTTGCACATAATTTATCTTGCTTTCTCTTAAACTTCATTTAGGCACCATCTTTCATCAGAAGAGAATAATACACGCAACCCTCTGTTGTTTATTATATTCGAAGAACTGAATCTGATGCTTAGTTTATCTTGGAAACTGGTCTCCAGACAGATGCTAACGTTAATTTGAAGGAATATTATGATTCAAAATCAATATGCTTACTGCTTGATATGCATACCATAACCAATAATGGAAATCTCTATAAATACAGACCCTATACCAAGTCAAACTTGCTCCAAATTTTGCAGGAGAACTTGAAGAATTTTCCTGATTCTCCAAAATATAAGAGCAAAAATGAGGCCGACTTAGTCGGGCCACCTGAAAAGGTCTCAAATAATATTGAGAATCATGTTAGGCCTAAGCTAAAAAATTAAGCCCACTACCAAAAATTGATTGTAGTTAGGTGCATCGATATAAAAACTAGGAGCACCAAGTCTTAAAAAACTGCTCTATACAGCCCATGTCCTCTCACACCATTCTTTCAATGTAGTATTCTCTAATCAAAATCAGTTACTTGAGACAGCGTACTTAAGCTTATAATCATAACACTTTAGAAAAACAAGAAAATAATGTTGCAAGTGCCACCTAACCCGTTATTATGTTATGACAGGAGAACATAATATGTGACATCAATCTTGAAATCAGAATATTACAAAGCGTTCTGTATACTAAAGCCAAGAAATGTCTATTAACAAGCTACATCCTTTTCACTCAACAAAATCCATGAGCTTTAATCAGTGATATTCATTAACTGTATGGTCAACTAAAACCCCCAAGTTACATTTGATGTATCAAAAACACAAAGCTGCATTATGAAGAGGATCTATCAGGAGAAATTTCATAATGGTTGATCACTTACATCTAATGCTATCTACGGACAACACGGTGTCGTTCACGTTTCCTGAAGCGCTCAAGCATGAGTTCATCTGTCGCAGCTTGCCTCCGAACTGCTTTGTCTGAGTTGTTAACTTCTGTTGCCTTGGCTCCTATGTCATTACCTTCTGCATCTCTATCCTTGTATAGTTCCGGATGGTCTGCTTCAAAAGGTTAATGGTTAATGAGTATGAAATTTAAGAAAACTAAAAGGATAAAAGCCAGTCAATGTTTCACTCCACGTAGATATTGGTGGCTACTCTGTCCCTTGGAAAAACCAAGAACAACCTACTGTATTCAATTACAATGCAAGGTCAATGATCATATAGTTACAAACTAGGTTGCATAGGTACGGGTACGGGTACGGACACGGGTACGGACACGGGTACGGGACACGGCAAATTTGTAAAAAGTAGGGTACGGGGACACTGCTCATATATATATATATAAAACAAACCAAAGTCCAAGCTGGTTTTTAACCTGGACCCAAACCCAAGCCCAAGCCCAACTTTCCTAGATCCCTCTAAGGCTCTAACTAAAACATAAAAGAAAACCCTAGCTTTTCTCTTTGCTCCTATCCGCCGCCTCAGATTGATCCAAGAGATCGGCTCCTCTCCTCTTTCCTCCTTCAGATCCGAGTCCAAGGAGATCTAGGGCTAGGGTTTTCAATGTTCTCCCTCGAAGCTAAGCTCGTCGTTCACTTCTTCGAAGCTCGTCGTCCCTCCAATCTCGTCGTCGACTCTTCCCTCGAAGCTCGTTGTCGACTCCTCCTTCGAAGCTCGTCATCCCTTGAAGCTCGTTGTCCCTCGAAGATCGTCATTTCCTCCCACGACTACTTTCCCTCTTCAGGTTCGTAACTTTTTTCCCCTTCACGCCTTCAATCGCCGTGTCCCTGCCGTTTGGGTGCGGATCCGCACCCAAAACGTACCTGACACGGGTACGGGGCCAATTTGGCCGTGTCGGGGTAACATAGGTTACAAACAACTGGGGATTCCCTGTGAGCCCTCTGTCTTGTTTGTCATACTTGAGGCTGTTTGGGAGGCCTTATTTTCAGAAGCTTATAAGCATGTTACCTTTTGCTGGCTATTGGCTTTTATGATAAGAAATTTATAAAAATTGTGTGGGTACAATAGTCATTTGCTTGTCCAAACCTAGATTATTTAGGTAGCTATAGGCTAGTTTTCAAAAGTTGGGGGATCCCAATTTTTTTTAAATAGGACTTAAAAGCTACATTAATTGGGATCTTACCAAGCATGTAGATACGAAAAAGCTATCTTAAAAGTTCTTCCACCAAAATATAAGCCCCCCAAACATCCACTTAGAATTAATTACACTGCCATGATAAGTCATGCTGCTAGGTAAGATATTCATGGTCCACCTCGCTTGTGGAAAAAACCATGGAGTGATTGCCACTTCACAGCATTCGCCGATCCTAGTAATTTGTCTATTATCATTTTTTTGGTTGAATTTTCGCATTGCATAAAATATAGAATTAGTATATCAAATATGCATAGTGCGCGTAGGAATAATGACAAATTTCATTGGTTGTCTCTCATGTTAGTCCCCTAGTAGTATAGGTCACTCTTCTTTTAGCATCTTTTTCAGCACTAATGAACTTTCTTTAACATATAATTATTTGTCGTCTAAATGTATTGATTTCAGCCATTCATTGTGTTAAAATTCTTGCTGCGAATTGTACCAAGTTTGTTCCTGACATGAGCTCAAAATAGTAACTTTGAGAAACACCCAGCTAAATGTAATCTAATTCTTTAGTAGGGAAGTTATCAAAAATTAACGGGACAAATATTAGTATATGATACTCCACCTACTATTTATAATTTATCACATCAAACAGTCCATAATTTCTACACATATATCATTCAGCTGGTGATTATTGAAGAATATGGATTAATTAGACCAGGTTTTGTTGTAAATCAAAAGATCCTATCAGCTTCACTCGTCAGCATTTCAACTTATATGTAATATCTCCTGTGCATAATGGACAGCACATGCAAGATGACGAAAATCTTTCTTCCCAAGGAACCACCTGGGTGCAGCGATTGCCAGGTCTAGTGACTTTCCCCTTCTACCACCACATCATTTTTGTCATTTTGTGTTGGGTCTCAGATCTTTTTGCTTGGTTTTCTGATGGCTTATTTTATGACCTTGTGGGACAGTTTGCATTGCTATATATTTTAAGATGAAATGCCTTTAAATGATATTTTATTTCACATCTTCTTCTTAGTGAAACAAGAGGAATAGCCCAGCCTCTCTCTCTCTCTCTCTCTCTCACACACACACACAGAGTAAGCTACTTAATCAATGGCATCATGTAACAAACCAATAAATCTAAACCCTATTATTTTTTAGGAAAACCAAAACCCTCTTCTACTAGAAAAGCATGAAACCGGTAAAAGAATTGCACCAACCTCTTCGAAGTTTTTCAGCGTAGTCTCGGCCACGCTGAAAATAATCTGCACTAAAGCTTGAGGGGATAGTCAGTTCAGATTTAGCTCTGCCTGCAAGCCTCTTCTCTTGCAAGAGCTTCTTGGCAGCCTCTGTCTCTTCTATATTCCGCAATTTATATCTGCATCCTTAAAAAGTGATTATCTGCAGAGAGTAATGGAATAAAAAAGCCACAAGGAAGGAAATTTTAAGCATCATTAACTGCAACAGAAGTTTTTTCAGAAAAGACAATATCTTGCACGCATCTCTCAAGTAGGTCATCATGTAATAGTAAGCACATACCCCAAACATAAACAAAAACTTAATCTGACATATAGCAGTAACATTTCTATCAAACGATGAACCTGATTGTAGACAAGAAAAATATATCATTCACTTATTTGATTGAATTTAAAAAAAAGAATAAAAAAGAAGTGAAAAAACATAAGAACAAAAAGTTCCTCTGAGAATGTACACTCATCAGATGGAATGGCACGACTGTGTGTGTATATTGGGGATAAGCTGGTTAAGACACAATTAGAAACATCAAGACCTTCCTGGATCTTTCCAACGCAACTGAATCCCAGTCAAAGCGTAGTATTCTCATATCAAACAATTCTTTATCTGACTAAAGGCTATTTAGATCATGTTCAATCCTTCCTGAAAAAATCAGTTTACATTTACAACTTCCTCAGCAGTTGAGTATTTTTCTTTCCTTCAGCTTGTCCTCACGTCAGTCAGGGTCATGGTAGTAACTCACACAAGCACACAGTCTCACTATCCATCGCTTTCTTTCGAAACCATAGCAGGATATAAGACAAAACAGTTTCTTATTAGATTTATATGATATCCTCAGTGGAATACTGGATGATAACGCTAACTTGTCCCACTTCCAACCATTACAGGACAATGGCAGTCAGTCAAAGGCAAAACATTATAACAAAAGAAATCCCACTTCCTTAAACAATTATTTATGCTTGCATGTCAGGTAGTTTCCAAATCAATGTATTATTTCTATTTTTGAGAAATTGTCTGCACATATGCATGCTATATTGGACAGTCAATGGATTAACACAAAAAATTTGATTCACATTGTAGTACTCTTATTCGCTACAAGAGATCATGCAGATAAGCACGTACCACCTACATAGGCACAGGGAATTTTTGTTGAAATTTTGAAATTCATGTCCAAGTTATATAATTCCAAAAAAGTGAAAGGTGCAGTATTCAAATTAAAGAAGCATACTCGATGGGGAGCTGAATTTCTGCAATCCCAGTAGTCCACTGTGTGGAACTTTCCTCAGAGTTCCTCTTCTTTACCTGAAAAGGAAACTAGTGAGAACAGTTTCGGTAGACCGACTTCCAATGGTCAACAAAAGTTAAGAATGTTTTCTATCAGATAACTTAAAAACCTACCTTAAGGTGCTCAGGAACAACATACAATTCATCCACCTGATCTTTCTCCTCTTTATCGCCTGAATCAACACTCTTGCCTCTTCTTTTTGCCAGTTCTTGCTCAACGTACTTCAACCTGTTAAATAGAAAAAAGTAGAAAATTCAGCAAACTGTTCATTCCAAGTTCCAACCAAGGTTTTAAAACCGGTGATATAGCAAAATTCCAAATAGGGCTGAAAATCATACTGACTGAAATTTCAGATAATTCTTATTCATAAATGATACATTAGCATACTATCCTGCTTCAAAAATGAAAATGCAGAATCAAATTTTAACGGATTAAAAAATAATGGGAAATAATAAGAAATATATGTGTGAGCATGAGAATATTTCACCTTTATTACTAACATTATTAGTTGTCATTAGACCTTGGGGGTCAAGGTGTCTAACAAAAAACTACAGGGATATTTCTTATCACGTTGAAACATTGGGAGGGATAATACCAGAATAAATTTCACTAAACCCCCAACAAGTTTGAGCTTTTGGCACTTAACCCGCAAAAGTTTGAAACTCTTGCTAAACCACTAAGTTTGGGAATTCCATAAAACCCCAAAAACAAAATCAAAACTTTTGGTTTTTTTTTTCTTTTTTTTTTTTTTTTTGAATCTCAAACATATTAGGAGTTAGTGAGAGTTTCAAACTTTTTTCCGGTTTAGTGCTAAAGGCCCAAACTTATTAGGATTTAGTGAAATTTACCCTAAATACAGTTTATCCTACTTCTAACATGAGTGATATTCTGGTGTAATCTAGTTAAATCAGTTGAATCTCCAATAACATTTAGCTAATGATTTGATTAATCAACACAATGTTACAGCCAGGTCATAAGCTTCAGCCAAGATTTTGAAATTGACAGTTAATTTCATCCCATTTTTAAATAAAGGGTTATTTGCACTTTAGAACACCCAAAATTTCGCCCTTTCTAATAAGATAATTTATTTGCCGTTTCCCTATGATATTCTTTAACAAAATTAACGTCAACTTTGTTGCATTTTGCATCGGCAATTTGTCAAAATAGAACTTCAGGAGAAAAAAAAAGGTGAAACTTTAGGATAGTAAAGTACAAGTACCAGTATTTAAACTGAACTGAAATTGTGTATTCTGACTAAAAATTGAGCAATTTTAATAATCAAACTCCTAAGCAATCAAATTCCTCCAAAAGATTCAAACTTGTTTCGAACTTTACATGTTAGGGTCTTCAACAGTGACGGCGGTCTCCTGAGCAAAAGTATCCTGAAGCACCAAATCCTCTTTCTCTCCATCGCCATCCCCTTTCTCGCCGGACCCCTGCAGTCTGTTGGATCCGGACTTGCCGGCGAGGACCGCCGGGATCCCAAGCTTCCGCTCCCTTTGCTTCTGCAGGAATTTCACCTCGTCTAGCTTTAATCTGACAAAGAGAAACCCTAGATTTAGATGAAATTTGGTAGATGAAGGAATAAATATGGGGGTTTTGAGGGGGTTTTTTATTAGCGTTAGGGTTTTTTTCCCCCTGGTACCTGCGCTCTTCTTCGTCTTCGGATTCGGGGGTTGGGTCTTCGTCGCGAGTTCGCTTTCTGAAGTTTTTGTTGCGCATCGTTTCTCTTTGGTAGCGATCAAATTTTTGGGAGGAGAAGGTACAGATTTGAAGGCTGTATAGCGGGTTCAGATCCGAAACCCGAAACCCGAAGGTTACTAAAGGGCTAACCCGCTTCCCCGTTGGCTGAGGTTCCGTTTAGGGCCTGATTGTTTTGCAAAAAAATTCAGAAAATGGGGGAAAGAAAATAAATTTTGATATTTTTCTCTACTTTTTGATATTTGGTTCGTCAAAATTCGGAAAGAAAGTGAGGGAAAAAAATTAGTTGTCACCATATTATTGGATCAGATAAGTAATTTTTGATGTTTTCCTCCACTTTCTTTATTTTTTGTTCTTTCTTGTGTTTGGTTCATTCTTAAAACTAAGAAAATAAATGAGAGAAACTTAGCTGTTATTATATTATTGGATGATGTGACTCATACTTAAGAAAATTAATTTCCTTATTTTTTTGGAGGAAATGGATGGAAGGAAATTTTAATGAGATGCGATGAGTTGTCACCATATTATTGGATGATGTGAGTAATTTTTAAAGATGATAGAAAATGAAGGAAAGTTGAGTGAGGCGAGTTGGATGAGTTGATTGATATGACTCATTTCTTGTGTTTAGTTTATTTTTAAAAGTAAGAAATGAGATGTGATGGAATGAGTTGTCACAATATTATTGGGAGAAAGTGGAGAAAGTGAAGAAAAGTGGGTTAGGGTCTGTTCGTTTGCCTTAAAAAAAATGGGAAATCAAAGAAATAGAAAACTATTTCTAAGAAGAATTGTTTTGGGAGTGTTTGGTTTGCTAAAAAAGGAAATCAAAGAAATGAAGATAAGATGAGATGAGTTGTCATCTTATTATAGGATGATGTGAGTGTTTTTTTAAGAAAACTTGTTTTGAGATTTCTTGGTTGGCGAAAAAAATAAGGAAATAAATTATAAGAAACCTATTTCTTGTAATAGGTAGTTTTCTTTTGTTTGGTTATTTCTTAAAAATAAGAAAATAGATGAGATGAGATGAGTTGTCATTATATTATTGGATGATGTGACCCACACTTAAGGAAATTGTTTTCCTAGCTTTTTGAGAGGAAAACAAAGAAATGAAATGTTAATGAGATGAGATGAGTTGTCACAATCTTATTGGATGATGTGAGTGATTTTTAAATATGAGATGAGATGAGTTGGGTGATGTTGTGGATGAAAATAATATTTTATTAGATGTGGTGGATGTGATGGATGAGTTGTTGGATGAAAATAATATTTTATTAGATGTGGTGGATGAGTTGTTGGATAAAAATAATATTTTATTAGATGTTGTGAGTGAGTTTTAGGGATGGAAATGTGTGAAATTGTACTTTTTGAGATTTCTTGGTTTTCTTTTCTTTTTTTTGGTTTTTTAGGAAATAACCGAACAGACCCTTAAAGAATGTGAGGGAAAGTGAAAAAATGAAGGAAAGTGGGTTTTAGATTCTAAGGGAAACGAAACAAACAGGCCCTTTAAAGAGAGAATTAAAAAACAGAAAAATATAATAACAGCAACAACATCAACAATGATAACACATACTTGCCTTAAGCTGTTACTTTGACTCTGCGTGTCATCTTAACTATTTCTTGTTCTTTTCTTTCATCTTGAATTATTAAATTGATTTGAACCCTTTTCAGTTCAGTGCGTAAAATATGATTAAAAATAGTTAAAGAAATAAAGAGAAATGAATTTAACAGTTTGTATGTAGAGTAAGATGAGATAAAACAATAGTTCTGATTTTATACAATGGAAAATTTAATAAATTAGAAGACAATAAGAACGGGAGCACAAAGAACTTAAGTTTGTTAAATATTTAGAAGAAAAGGGAGCTAAATGAGTTAATCCTCGACTAAAATCATTTTAATTCTTGAGAATTCATTACTATTTTGAAAATGGGATTCTTTTTTGCTTTCACTCCTCATATACTTGGAAAAAAACCACAAAAAATGTCTTCACACTTGAAAAAAAATCAATAGAAACAACTTCACGTTTGAAAAATATTCAAAAGAATATAATAAATCATCCGTTCTCTTGAGAATTCAATTACAATATTACTTCAAATTCCTTGTAATTCACACGTCTCATGCATTGAGATGAAAGGTGCATACGATTTAGATGCGGCTCGGGTATGATATTATTCACATCCATATATGCTTACCACTCACGAATAATGGTATTAATATGGATATGCATGAATAAGAAAAATTCATGTCCATATTCACTGAATTCGTATGCATATACGGATGTACATATGAATGGGCCAACCTACGTGCACGAATTCACGTGAAGAGATGGGCAACGCGTGAAGAGATGTTGAAAACGCGTGAAGTAGGGAGAAGTCGAGCAGATGTTTGCTAAGAGCCAGTGGACGAATGCGTAAAGAGATAGGATTGTATCTCTTTTCCGCTGGACAAAGCAATGTGTGAAGAGATAAGATTGTATCTCTTTTCCGCTGGACAAAGCAGGCCCACCCGATTCAAAGCTATATATATAGCTACCCTAGGTCTTTTTTATTCGGTGAGCAAGAACAGAAGTTAGGGAAAAGAAGAAACAGAAGGCGGCTGTGTGCGAAGGAGGCTGGCTTTTGTTTTGTTGGTTGCGGCTTGGTGCGAAGAGGAAATCGCAGACAGAGAAGAAAAAGGGTGCAGTTTTTTTTTCTCCTTTGGCAGCGTGCAAGTCAGAGGCCTTTTGAGAGAGTTTTGTGTGAGGGATCTGAGAGTTTGTGTGAGGGTTTAGATTGAGTGATTGTAACCCCTAGTTGTATCTCTCCCTCTAATAGTAGATCTCCCCCTCCTTGCCCCGTGGACGTAGGCTGTCTTTTTGTGATTTGTATAGCTTGTAGGTTCCCTCGACAAGTCAGTCCTAGAACTGATGAGAGGAAGAGCTGATATCTCACTTTGTTGAGTTATTTTGCTTTCGGTTCTTGTTTCATTTGTGAAACAAGATTTTCATTAATTATGATCTAATCTCTTGTTGTGCACCTTGTGCACCGGAGGTGCTGCCGAAGTTTCCGCTGTGCACAACAATTGGTATCAGAGCTCCGGGTTGGACTTGGGAGCTTGTTCGAAGGATTCGTTAATGGATTCTTATTTGAAGAGTTAGATCTACAATATGGGTGAAGCAAGCACATCAGGATCGTCTCTTATGAAGACGATACATAGTTTGAGCATCAATAACATGAAGATTGATGTTCCGAAGTTCGACGGCAAGATCAATTTCAGATTATGAATGTGTCAAGTGATGGACGCCTTGGATGCACAGAATTTAGCAGAGACTCATAAGTTGCAAGAGAAACCTGCCGATATGGAAGATAATGTTTAGAAGAAGATGAATAGTAGGGCGTGTGGAGTTATTCGGTCATGCTTGACGTCAGATCTTATTTATGATGTGATGAACGAGACGTCGGCGAAAAGGATGTGGGAAACACTCAATAAAAAGTATCTTACTAAGAGCATTGAGAATCGACTTCACTTGAAGAAGAGGTTTTACCAGTTCAAGATGAAGAGGGAAGTTTCCATTAGGGAGCATGTTAACAACTTCACAAAGCTACTTTCAGACATGGCCAATGTGGATATCATTTAACAACTTCACAAAGCTACTTTCAGACATGGCCAATGTGGATATCATGGTTGAGGATGAAGATAAGGCAATGCTACTTTTGTTTTCGTTGCCCGAGGATGATTATGGTACCTTGTTCTTACTATGATTAATGGAAGAACTACTGTTAGCTATAAGGAGGTGACCTCAGCGTTGGTGAATTATAAGTTGAGGAAGAGTGTTGATGAGTCCTCCGAGAAGGCATCGGGAGATGCATTAGTAGTTCAAGGCCGTGGTTCAAACTAAAGCAGAAGGTCGCAGTCTAGAGGTGCACATTGTGGGATTCGTAGGAATCAGTGTGCTTTTTGTAAAGAGGATGGACATTAGAAAACTGAATGCCCAAAGTTAGATCGAGTTGAGAAGAATAAGGGAAAAGTTGTACAAGCTTCAGAGGTGAATGTTGTCAAGTCTAGTGGCAACAATTCAGATTCAGATTCTTCAGGGTATTCGTTATCCGTACTACCATCAGTTTGTGATGCCGACTCTACTAAGTGGATGTTGGATTCGGGTGCTTCTTACCATGTTTGCCCTAGGAGGGATTGGTTCTTCAGCTTTCAGAAGTTGGAAAGAGAGGATGTTATGCTCATGGGTAATGGACATGCATGCTCTATTGGTGGTATTGGTACTGTTCGGATTAGGATGAGTAATGGGATGATACGAGAGTTGGATGATGTGAGGTTCATTCCGTAATTAAAGATGAACATCATTTTACTTGGAGCTTTGGAGGCAGCCGACTATAGGGTGACCTTGGTGGATGCACGTTTGAAGGTCACATTTGGGGTCCATGATTATGATGAAGGGCGTCAGAAGGAGAAATTTGTATTATTTGCTCGGAAGCACGGCGATTGATAAGGAGCTGACGACTTCATCAGATTCGGCTACACTATGGCGTTGTTTAATGCTAGGTTATTTGATTGGTAATGCCGTGCATAGGTTGTTAAGGAGTGCTTTGACCTGCAGTTTAAAGTCCTGTGAACCCATTGGTATGAACAAGAAGACCGGAGTTGAATTTGGCACTTCTATCCATCATTCGAGGGGTCTTCTGAGGGGTGTTCATTCAGGAATTCGGGGGCCTTCCAAGGAAGCATTATTGGGAGATAATAAGTATGTGGTTTTTGCAGTTGGGGATTGTTCTAGACATTGGTGGGTTACAACCAAGTCCCGTTGGTGTGAAGTCCTAGAAGCTGCAACAGATGGAGGAAGTGTATTGGCAAAAAGGTAACCCGATGTTCTGTTTATGGTAGGGGTTCTTTCTTACGTTTGTGCCGAGCTCAAGGTAATTAGAGACACTTTATTGTTGTAGAAACTTCGAGGCGACGTGATGAGATGGCAGATTTAGGGAGCTGTTCTTTTCTGAAGGAGGATCGACGTTTGATGTCAAGCATTAGTATTGGTGTGTGGGCTACGACATGTTTGGGCCATCTTATGCATAGGTTACCGACTACTACATGTAGATATTTTGGATCTGGTGGAACTGCTTCAGATTTTGGGTTGCGTCGGATGTTTGGCTACCTAGCACTTGGTCACATCGTGGATGTGTGATTTGATCCGATAGCACATTTGGGATTCAGAGCGTGTTTGATTATCAGCGGGTGGAGAGTGATGCTAAACCACTTTGGGTGGAGACTCCAGATCATACTGCATCATTTGAGATTCTAACTGATGTGATACAGATTGGGAATCATGTTGTTTTGGATGCAGATGATAGGTTGATCGTTTTGAGTGCAGCTGATAGATGCAGTTTGGATATGACCATTGGTTCACCTCAGGTGGAGGTGTTTGAGGCTATTGGAGGTGCTATCAGCCACAGAGTTGATGATATTGGAGAAGGGTTACGAACTCTTCTATTAGATTAAGGTCGTTCGCGACCATTTGGGTGAACTACGTGAAGGCTTGATTCCTTGAGCAAGAGGATACGTAGGCAGTCTTTATGATGCATCCGATTTGGTGAGTTGATACCGACATTTGGAGAGTGTTTGCATTCTCATTTGGGTTCTCGACTTATTGTGGATTGAGTCCGTTGTCGTGAATTATTTCACGGTGTACTGGACACAACAAGTGGTATAGTTGGTTTGGTTGGTGTCGGCTCAGTTTTGAAAAAACTTCGCCGAGGTGGAGAATTGTGAATGAGCCAACCTACGTGAACGAATTCACGTGAAGAGATGCGCAACGCGTGAAGAGATGTTGAAAACGCGTGAAGTAGGGAGAAGTCCAGCAGATGTTTGCTAAGAGCTAGTGGACGAATGCGTGAAGAGATAGGATTGTATCTCTTTTTCGCTGGACAAAGCAATGCGCGAAGAGACAGAATTGTACCTCTTTTCCGCTGGACAAAGCAGGCCCACCCGATTCAAAGCTATATATATAGCTAGCCTAGGTCTTTTTTGTTCGGTGAGCAAGAACAGAAGTTGGGGAAAAGAAGAAACAGAAGGCGGCTGTGTGCGAAGGAGGCTGGCTTTTGTTTTGTTGGCTGCGGCTTGGTGCGAAGAGGAAATCACAGACATAGAAGAAAAAGGGTGCAGTTTTTTTCTCCTTTGGCAGCGTGCAAGTCAGAGGCCTTTTGAGAGAGTTTTGTGTGAGGGATCTGAGAGTTTGTGTGAGGGTTTAAATTGAGTGTAAACCCTAGTTGTATCTCTCACTCTAATAGTAGATCTCCCCCCTCCTTGCCCCGTGGACGTAGGCAATTTGCCGAACCACGTTAAATAGATTGTCTTGCTGTGATTTGTATAGCTTGTAGGTTCCCTCGACAAGTCAATCCTAGAACTGATGAGAGGAAGAGCTGATATCTCACTTTGTTGAGTTATTTTACTTTCGATTCTTGTTTCCTTTGTGAAACAAGATTTTCGTTGTGATCTAATCTCTTGTTGTGCACATTGTGCATCAGAGGTGCTGCCGAAATTTCCGCTGCGCACAACAGTACACGCATATACAGAATGGATATAAGAAAACTAGAGAATATTGGAAAAATATAGTTCATATGATACAAGAGAGTTCATTGATATGCTTATTATATCTGAAAAAAATAAAGATTAGACCCCTGATTAGTAAACTCAACCTCAATTCGATTAATCTAACGATTAAAACTGTCACAAGTATATGACCATCATATACTCGCGGATATTACACTAAATATCCATATCCGTATCCATAATTATTATGCTATCAAATATGAAAAATGCCGTAGGGACCTAAAAACATGAGACCCTATATGGGACAGGCGATGTGTCGGCTCCATGTCCCATGATGCACGAGGTGTCGGCTCCTTGTCCCATGATGCATGAATAGTGCATCATGAGACATGGAGCCGACACCTCGTCTGTCCCATGTAGGGTCCCATATTTTTGGGTCCCTGTAACACTACCCATCAAATATAGATTTTAATAACTATACTTGCACAGTTGCACCGTAACCGATTCGGATTTGGATATTTTTGCGCACCCCTAAGCCGAGATGCTATGATTTGTAATGAGCAGGTGATAAATTTGAAATCACAATCATTAATACAAAGAAAACGGACCAAACCGAAGGCAGGCCCATGATCATCGTGACGCCCAGCCCAATATCCTTGTCTCCTTTCTATCCAAAACTTTGGATAACACCCTTTCTAACCGCGAACGAAGCTAACCATGGCCGTCTCATAAACCCCAAATCCAACCTCCTCCCAATCCCTTCTCACTTTACAAAAAAATAAAAAAAAATAAATAAAAAAGCCATGAATGTTTGCATTTCTTGCACTCTCAACCCATCGCCTCTTCTCCTCTTCTCAAACCCATCAACCACAAGACCCAATTCCCCAAAAAGAAGGGGCTCAAGTGTAAAATCCCAGCTCAAGACTGTCGAGTCCAATCCAGTGACGTCTTCGTCCGGTCCGGTTCCGACCCATCGGGTCACTGTTCGTGATCGGCAGCGGGGAGTTGTGCACGAGTTCCTCGTGCCCGAGGTAACCATCGTTTGCCAAAATTTAACAAAATGGTGGGTTAATTTGGAGAAATAATTGAATTCCGAGTAATGGGTTTTCTGCAGGATCAGTACATTTTGCATACCGCTGAGTCGCAGGACATAACTCTTCCCTTTGCTTGCAGGCATGGTATTGGATTTTAGCTGAGTTTTGTAAATTATGGGTTCTTTTGGTATAAGTGGGCTAGTGTAGTATTTATTTATTTTTCCTTACGAATTTTAGTAAGTTATATTGGAAACCATAAGCAAGGCTATTTCTGGCCTAAGTAATTAGTTTTTGGTTTATGTAGAATACCCATAAAGGATTGAGGTTTTAACTTTAGTTTAGTGAGCAAAATCTGTTTTTGGAGTCCTTTGTTGCAAATTTGCAGATGTAGTTTTTACTTATTGCCCTATCCGTCTGATGGTGTAACTGACCAGTTTGTTTCATCATATACACACTGTGTAATGGAATATTAGTTGCATACAACGAGGAGGTGTACATCATCACCATGTTGTAGTATACTAAGGAATAAATGTTACATTCATATATCAAACATTAACTATTTTCCTTTTTTTTTGCGTCATTTGCATATGGATGGTGTTATGTTAGTGCATTTGTTAACCAAGATCTTGGTATAATAATAGAAGAAAAATGAGTGAAATAAAAAGGTGTCGGGTCTATGAAGCAGAGATGAGGATAAAAATACGATAAACGATAAGCTTTTAAGAAACAGGACAAGGAGACATACATGTATATCGAAAATAAGGGTAAATTTCACAGAAACCCACCAAGTTTGAACCATTTTGATATAAGCCCCAAAATGTTTGGAAATGCAATTTTAGCCCCAAAACCTTTTCAAATGACCCACCAAAAGTTAGGAGTTATCTGGAAATAAATTCATAAAAATGCAAAATTTTTGAGGGTTGGGTGACATTTCCAAATCTTTAGGGGCTATTTCAAAATGGGCCAAACTATTTGGGGTTTTGTGAAATATACCCTAAAAATAACAAGTATATCAAGAATAAGCGTTAAAACAAATTCAATCAGCTAACTAATAAATCTAAAAAATGGATTTTTTTGCCCCTTGTAACTGTTGGTTACGAGAAATGAGGGTTTCTCATTACTTGGTGATTATTCATCTCTCATTGAGTTAGATTTCATGTAACACTATGAGAGGGATAGATATGTGGATAGAATCCACATAGTAGTATAAGCTGAACTGATTTTGAACTTTCAATTAAAGCTAATTTGAATCTCATAGATCCAAAGAGAGAAAGTCTCCGAAGTGCATCTTAGACCTAAAACATCAAGATTTTAGTGTGAACATAGCTGGATGTGATACTACCTCAGAGAATTGTGCTTTATAGTGCAACGTTGAATCCCTAAGAGGGATCTCATAGTATGTTTGAGAACTGGTCAAAGCGGCTTATAAGTCACTTTTGTGGCTTATAAGCCATGTTTGGCAACCAACTTAATTGGCTTCTAAGTCAAAAAAAGTTAAGTTGCCGTAACCCAGCTTATTTTTTCAGTTGCTTATAAGCTGAGTTGTTTGACCAAGTAATTGACCACCTGACCCCTCAACATTTAAGATGGTTCCAAAACCTATGTTATTTTTAGTCATTTTAAGAATAATAATGTATTATGATCCACCCATTTGCCAAACACTCTTTTGCTGGATGCAGCTTATAATCTTTTTTTTTAACCAAGAACTTAGGCTTTTCATTTGTGGATTATAAGCCAATTTTCCAAACATGCTCTTATGGGGTGTGCCTGATGAAGGAGAAGCGATGAAAAACTAAATTCATATAGCGTACGGAACATATTCTACATGTCATAAACCAATTAGTAGCTTAGAATAGCGAAATTGTGGACAACAGAATGGTGAAGGGATGAATTATGGTTAAATGCTTGACCTTAACCATTGTAAAATTGATCATTATGCTCAGTTTCATTCTAGTTTACTTATTTTTTAGATTATTGATCCGTTTCAGACAATCCCTCTCAAGTTAAAATTCGGCTTTTATTTCTGTAGTTAAACAATGAATAATTTTGCTTGAACTCCAGCAATAAGTTTGGAAGATTTGTAATAGATAGTTATGCTAGAGTATTATCTCATTTGTGGTCAGGATAGAGCATATATTGTAATAGATAGCTAACTTCATAAGGAAACATATATTGTTCAGGAGAGATCGAGCAGCTCTAAGAGTTAATGAACCTTAAACAGAGTACTAAAAACTAATGAATCCAATAGTTTAAGCTATCAATTACCGATCTTTACTTTCTATTTACACCTTGTTTAGATTGAGGGGAATGAACGGAGGTGAAAAATTACTTTGTTTGGGAGTCTCTTTTAGAGGGGATTGGAGGTGAAAATTGTACCGCCTTCAATGTGATTTTGTACTCAAATAGAATCCTAACTGTCCTTTCCTTTCATTTGTGAGTATAACTCAATCTTCCATGGGAATCATGAGTCTTCCACTGACTTAGTCCAAACTAGCAATCAGAGATATAATTTCCCATGATCCCATCACCTGTGGCCTAACTAGACCCTAGTCACTCTTGTGCGCAATCATAGGTATCCTCCATCATTCTTGAGGTAAGTGGCCTTTGGTCCTGGACTGACAAACAGAAACGAGGATAAAAATACGAGAAACGATAAGCTTTTAAGAAACAGGACAAGGAAACATACGTATGTAATGAAAATAAGGGTAAATTTCACAAAAACCCCACCAAGTTTGAACCATTTTGATAGAAGCCCCAAAATGTTTGGAAATACAATTTAAGCCCCAAAACTTTTTGAGATAACCCACCAAAAGTTAGGAGTTATCTGGAAATAAATTCATAAAAATACAAAATTTTTGAGGATTAGGATATCTCAAAATAGGCCAAACTATTTGCAGTTTTGTGAAATATACCCTAAAAATAACAAGTGTGTATCAAGAATAAAACGTTAAAACAAATTCAATCAGCTAACGAATAAATCTGAAAAATAGATTTTTTTCCCCTTGTAAGTGTGGGTTACGAGAAATGAGGGTTTCTCATTATTTGGTGATTTTTCATCTCTCATTGAGTTAGATTTCATGTAACATTATGAGAGGGATAGAGATGTGGATATAATCCACATACTAGTTATAAGTTGATCTGGTTTCGAACTTTTAATTAAAGCTAATTAGAATCTTATGGATCCAAATAGAGAAAGTGTCCAAAGTGCATCTTAGACCTAAAACATCAAGGTTTTAGTGTGAACATATCTGGATGTGGTACTACCTCAGAAAATTGTGTTTTATAGTGTAGTGTTGAATCCCTAAGAGGGATCTTAGAGCATGTTTAGGAACTGATGAAATTGGCTTAGAAGTCACTTTTGTGGCTTATAAGCCACTAAAATATGTTTGGCAACCAACTTAATTGGCTTCTAAGTAAAAAAAAGTTAAGTTGTCCCAACCCAGCTTATTTTTTCGGTTGCTTATAAGCTGGGTTGTTTGACCAAGTAAATGACCAGCTGACCCCTTAACATTTAAGATAATTTCAAAACCTATGTCATTTTTAGTCATTTTAATAATAATGATGGATTATAATCCACCCATTTGCCAAACAATCTCTTATTGAATGCAACTTATAATCTTTTTTTATACCAAGCGTTTAGGCCTATAATATACTTGGTGTAATAATTCATTTGTGGATTATAAGTCAATTTCCCTAACAACGCCCTTATGGGGTGTGCTTGATGACGGAGAAACGATGAAAAACTAAATTTATATAGCGTACAGAACATATTCTACATGTCGTAAACCAATTAGTAGCTTGGAGTAACGAAATTGTGAGCAACAGAATGGTGAAGGGATGAATTATAGTTAAATGCTTGACCTTAACCATTGTAAAATTGATCATTATGCTCGGTTTCGTTCTAGTTCACTTATTTTTTAGATTATTGATCGGTTTCAGATAATCCCTCTCAAGTTGAAATTTGTCTTTTATTTCTGTAGTTAAACAATGAATAATTTGGCTTGAATTCCAGCAATAAGTTTGGAAGATTTGTAATAGATAGCTATGTTAGAGTATCATCTCATTTATGGTCGGGATAGAGTATATATTGTAATAAATAGCATAAGAAAATATATATTGTTCAGGAGAGATTGAGCGGCTCTAATAGTTAATAAGCATAAACAGAGTACTGAAAACTAATGAATCCAATAGTTTAAGCTATCAAGAACCGATCCTTACTTTCTATTTACACCCTGTTTGGATTGAGGGGAATGAATGGAGGTGAAAAAAATCACTTTGCTTGGGAGTCTCTTTTGGAGGGGATTGGGGGTGAAAATTGCACCGCCTTTCACTCCCTGTCAATTTAATTTGTTTTTTGTACTCAAATAGAATCCTAACTGTCCTTTCCTTTCATTTGTGAGTATAACTCAATCTTCCATGGGAATCATTGGTCTTCCACTGACTTGGTCCAAACTGGCAATCAGAGATATGATTTCCCATCACCTGTGACCTAACCAGACCTTAGTCACTCCTGTGCACAATCATAGGTACCCTCCATCATTCCTGAGGTAACTGGACTTTGGTCCTGAACCGAAAAATTTGGGCACACCAGCTTGGCCACACCATTCTAGGATCTTTCAGTATCGATGGTCTAGCGAATATTAGTCTACTTGACTTGGTCCAAATCGGTAATCGTGGATCAAGACATTGCTAACAATATCCATGGGATCTTTCATTTTCTGCATGCTCCTTCATTTGTCAGTTAACAAGACATTTCGGCAGGATAACTTGATTCAGTTGTTCTCTCGACACCTTCAGATTTCATGTTGAACTTCACTCTCCCTTTCCCTTGTACCATAACCTGTATCTGATAGCACTTGTAATATGGACTGGGAAGAGTTTGTTTTTTTTTTCCTCTTTTTTTGGTTTTTTTTTGGGGGATGGGGTGGGGTGGGGTGGGGTTGGGGAGAGATCAGCCCCTCTGGAGTTTATGTATAATATGGATTTTAAACGGAGGTTGAAAACTAAGATTAATTTAATTTATTAAGAGTTGGTCCTACATCTGGTTAAATCCATCACTTTCAACTTTTTCACAGTGGGACTATGCTCATGTGAAATACCACATATATTCTATGTGTTGATCAGATACCACTGAAACATGAGTCAATTAATATTTTGAGAGGATTCTTTTTGGGTTTGATTCTTGAATGATACACAAGTTCTTGCCCCTCCATGGCGAGAAAAATAAATTACTAATGTTAGATTTACCTATGGTGGTTTTGAGCTATCTGTGCTGGCTTATGAGGTTGATCTTTCTAGTTTGGCTTGATCCTAGTAATAAGAAGAAACATGTTACATGGAAATATCTTACAAGTTATAGGATAAAGAAAGTAATTCAAAGTAATGATGATAACAAGTTTTCGAGCATCTTAATTCCTTGATACTCAATGTTGTTTTCGTATTCCTTATATAGGTAAATATAGATGGAGGGAACATGTTTTCTGATTCTTTCAGGTTGCTGTACTAGCTGTGCTGTTCGAGTAAAATCTGGGCAAATTAGACAACCTGAAGCTCTTGGGATTTCTGCAGAACTAAAATCTAAGGTTCTTTTGCCTTCACTTGCTAATTGTGGTTCTGAATAATATTTCTGTCGGTTAATGTTATCTCTTTCCTTCTTATCTAAATGAAGCCCACGCACTGTGATGTTAGTTTGCCTTTTAGTAACTACTGAGTAGATATTGACAAACTAAAAAATATGGAACGTGGCTGATAAGGCAAATTTCCTAATAAGTGATGAGGTTTTTTATTTGGTTGCGGCCGTGTTAACCAGGTAAATAACCTTCCAACTGTGACAATGAATGACTCGTGGAAGTAGGATTGAATCCTGCATGCATGAAAAAAATGAGAAGGAGAATAGGGAAAGGATATTACATGTGAGGTTCTCCATGTCGGTATCAGATTTTCTCATTAGAAGTTTTGATGTCCTGTGAGGTAAAAATATGGATCATTTCGTTGGATAGCTTGAAGGTGATATATTGTCCCCACAAAATTTCATTTAAAGGCTTCAGAGAATTTAGGTATATGTTGAGTTTCTTTGTCAATTCAGATTCACTAGAGCTTGTTAGATAGAACTTGATGAAGCTTTTGCCTCAGCACACTGTTCTTCCTGATCCGAGAGCTTCAACTGTTCCTGGATTTATTTGTGTATTTATTTGATAGGTTATAATTAGCAATAAGTGTGCTTGTTGCTACAAAAACAAAGTTTAGTGATCAACTTTTTTTCAGACTATTGAAATGGATTGGTAGACATCTTGTAGTGATTTGGGAGGCCATTAACTATGCTATTTTTCTTTGCAGGGTTATGCATTGCTCTGTGTGGGCTTCCCAACTTCTGATATTGAGGTTGAAACTCAAGACGAGGATGAGGTATTACAGTCCGAGCAAGAACTCAAACTATAATTATCTCATTGGAAAAGTGTATTAATGTATTTGCTTTCAATTTTAATGGTTATAATATCTCCAAACCCTACTCACTGATTCCTGGAAACATTATTACCCCTTCGTCTTTACAGGTGTACTGGCTCCAATTTGGACGATATTTTGCAAGAGGACCTATCGTATGTTTTCTACGACTATACACATTAGCTCTTGCAAGATTTTACTATCAGTCATAAATTACTCATATTTGCATTTCTTTTCTATATGATGCACATTAACCATTGTTGAAAGCATGATGGGGTTCTGTTTCCTGGATTTTAACTATTCCCTATTATCTGCAGGAGAGGGATGATTATGCACTGGAGCTGGCCATGGGAGATGAATAAGATAGGCGTAATCAGTTTGGAAGTATTGATTTGAAAAGACGACCCATATATTCTCTTTTGTGTATTGTATTATCCAATGTCATCTGAATCAAAATAGACTGTAGATTCATCAGAAAAAATTCGAGAACATTTCTAACTATTCATTTTCTTCTTTGATACATTTGTAAAAATATGCCATTACCTAGATTATATGCTATTCGATCATTCTGGCCACAAAACGTCTTCTTTCGAACTGTTGAACCCATCTTGAAATCTTATGATGGGTACTTCTTTGATGCAAAAATTTGTTATTTAGTCGAAGTTTCTTTTCTACTCTCAGTGAAGATCGTAGACATGACTGGTGAGAACTATGTTGCGCAAGTTCTTTGATTGTTTACTGTTAGGATATGTGAAGCCTAACTATCAGACCTGTCATATACTTCAGAATGAAGAGGAACAAGGCGGAACAGGAGGAACAGGATTGACGACGACGAAGTTCAAGAAAAACGACGAAGAATGCATTTTGACTGGGTCGCGGTCGACCGCGCATGGCGCGGCGGTCGACCGCGAGTCGGGTTTTGGCCCAGTTACAATTTTTGACATGTTTCTTTTTCTATTTGTAAAACCCTTAAGTCTATAAAAGGGTTGATTAGGGCATGATGTATATAGACGAAAATAGTGAAATTTTCTCCTGCGGCGGTCGTGGACGTAGTTTCTCACATTGAAAAGCGAACCACATAAATCTTGTGTGTTTGTGATTGATTGAATTCTCTATTCTCTCCTAAATCTCTATTTTCAAATCGCATCAGGGGGGTTGTGCATCCCCAACAAGTGGTATCAGAGCGACCAGGTTCGGCGCGAGCGATTTGAGGTCAGAGACATGGGATCTGAGAAGGAAACATCCAAGATTGAGAAGTTTGATGGAACAAACTTCGGGTTCTGGAAGATGCAGATGGAAGCCTACCTCTATCAGAAGAATTTATACCTACCATTGGGAGAGAAGCCGACGGATATGAAGGATGCGGATTGGAAGCTATTGGATTGAAAGGCCCTTGGAGCGATGAGGTTGACCTTGTCTAAATCAGTAGTGTTCAACATCAAGAATCAGAATACGACGGCGGATCTCATGGCGGCGTTGTCCAGTATGTATGAGCAGCCCTCTGCGGCGAATAAGGTACATCTCAATAAAAAGCTGTTTAATTTGACTGCGGCGAATAAGGTACATCTCAATAAAAAGTTGTTTAATTTGAGGATGTCCGAGAGCCAGAAATTCAAGGAACACCTGAACGAGTTTAACGAGATCACGGATCAACTAAACTCGGTCAATATTCAGTTTGACGATGAAATCCAAGCCCTCTTGATACTTGGTCAATTACCCGACAGTTAGAAGAGTACCGTTATCTCGATTAGCAGATCATGTGGCAAATCAAAACTGAAGTTTTCAGAGGCGGTGGACATGATTATGACTGAGGAGATTAGAAGACAAGAGGAAGAGATTTCTAATTCAGGGTCGGCGTTGAATCTTGAGAGCAGAGGAAGAAACGGAAACAGAAATAGAGGGAATAGTCAAGGAAGACCTAACTCGAGGAATGGGAGGTCAAAGTCCAGAAATCGCAAGAGCAAGAAGGAGATCGATTGCTGGAATTGTGGCAAGTTTGGCCACTTGAGAATCAATGCCGAGAACCCAAGAAGGACAAGGAGAACAAGACTGAAGCGAACGTGGCCTCAGGAGAATCAGATGATGCCCTAATCTGTTCGTTGGAGAGCAAGACTGAATCGTGGGTGCTGGATTCAGGAGCTTCGTTTCATACTACCTCAAATAGAGATTTATTTGAGAACTACGTTTCAGGAAACCTAGGAAAAGTCAATCTTGGTGACGATCAGCCCTGTGATATTGTTGGCAAAGGAGTCGTGCAGATCAAGCTCAATGGGTCTATATGGAAGCTTGAGGAAAAAATCTGATTTCCATAGGACAATTGGCGAAAGAGGGATATGTATCAACCTTCGCATGTGATACATGGAAGGTTACAAAGGGGTCCATGGTTGTTGCCCGTGGTACAAAGACAGGATCCCTCTACATGACGATAGATGCACGTGGTTCCATTGCAGTGGCTGAAAGTAAGGAAGACCCAAATTTGTAGCACCAGAGGCTAGGTCACATGAGTAGCAAAGGCCTAAAGGTTATGCAGTCGAATGGGAAATTACCAGGTTTGAGATCGACTGATATTGACTTATGTGAAAGTTGCATTCTTGGGAAACAAAAGAGAATAAGCTTCAAAAGGGTTGGCAGAACTCCTAAAGAAGAGAAGCTTGAGTTAGTTCACACAGATGTGTGGGGTCCAACATCAGTACCATCGACCGGCGGAAGGTTATATTTTGTGACCTTCATAGATGATCACTCGAGGAAGACTTGGGTCTATTTCATGAAACACAAATCAGAAGTGTTTGAAGTCTTCAAGAGATGGAAGGCTATGGTAGAGAACGAGACCGGTTTGAAGATCAAGAAGCTTCGTTCTGACAACGACGGCGAGTATGAAGACTCAGAGTTCAAGAGGTTCTGTTATGACAGCGGCATTAGATTAGAGAGGACAGTGCCAGGTACACCCCAGCAGAATGGCATAGCAGAACGGATGAACAGAACGTTGACTGAGAGAGCCAAAAGTATGCGGTTACAAGCAGGTTTTCCAAAGCAATTCTGGGCAGAAGCAGTCAACACAGTTGCCTACTTGATCAACTGGGGACCATCAGTTCCTTTGGAGCATAAAATACCCGAAGAAGTATGGAGTGGAAAGCAAGTAAATCTTTCTCACCTGAGAGTATTTGGGTATGTTTCATACGTTCATCTGAGTGATCATGCAAGAAACAAACTTGATCCTAAGTCTTTGAAATGTTTCTTTGTTGGCTATGGCGGTGATGAGTTTGGCTACAAATTTTGGGATGAGCAGAACAAGAAAATCATCAGAAGCAGGGATGTGGTCTTTAATGAAACAGTCATCTACAAAGACCGTGATGCCGTTCAGTCCACTAGTTCGGTGCAGAGTGATCCCACATACTTTGAGTCAGATGATGCCTCGGATGGAGGCAATCCTGAAGCTAGTTCTGATGAAGAAGAAGAGTTGATGGATGAGACTACTTCAGAGGGGGATGGAGGCAATCCTGAAGCTAGTTCTGATGAAGAAGAAGAGTTGATGGATGAGACTACTTCAGAGGGGGCAGATGAAGATGGATGATGGATGAGACTACTTCAGAGGGGGCAGATGAAGATGGAGAGCATGTTTCGCCTGTCAGAGAGTTGAGACGGTCAACTAGAGTCCCCAAGCCTAATCCAAAGTATTCATCACTACAGCCCAGAGCCCATCTCAACTACCTATTATTGAGTGACGGTGGAGAGCCAGAAAGTTATGATGAGACACTTCGAGTGGATGATGCGAGCAAGTGAGAGCTCGCCATGAAAGATAAAATAAAATCCTTGAACACCAACAAGACATGGGAACTTGCGAAGCTACCAACGGGGAAAAAGGCCTTGAGCAACAAATGGGTGTACAGAATCAAAGAGGAACATGATGGTTCCAAGAGATACAAGGCCAGATTGGTGGTTAAAGGATTTCAGCAGAGAGAAGGAGTTGATTACACAGAGATCTTCTCTCCAGTAGTCAAACTGACTACCATCAGAACAGTCCTGAGTATTGTTGCAGCTGAAGATCTACATCTCGAGCAGCTAGATGTAAAGACAGCTTTCCTCCACAGTGATCTAGAGGAAGAGATATATATGCAGCAGCCAGAGGGGTTTACTCAGAAGGGAAAAGAGAAGATGGTATGCAGATTGAAGAAGAGCTTGTACGGCCTAAAACAAGCTCCAAGGCAATGGTACAAAAAGTTCGATGGATTCATGCACAGGAACGGTTACTCCAGGTGCAATGCTGATCACTGTTGCTTTGTCAAGGAGTTTGACAACAGTTACATCATCCTGCTTTTATATGTCGACGACATGCTAGTAGCCGGTTCAGATATGACAGAGATCAAGAAACTGAAGAAGCAGCTGTCGAGTGAGTTTGACATGAAGGACCTAGGCGCAGCAAAGCAGATATTGGGAATGAAGATCAGCAGAGACAAACTCTTAGGCACACTACGACTATCTCAGGCCGAGTATATTCGACGGGTGCTTGAGAGATTCGGGATGAGTGGTGCTAAGGCCGTTAGCACACCGTTAGCTAGTCATTTCAGATTGACTAAGGAGCAGTGCCCCGAGACTGATGAAGAGAAAGATTACAAGAATCCACTACACAACCCGGTTTGGAAGCCGGAACTTCTCTACACACTCGGTTTTCTAGCTAACCGAAAACTCTACACACTCGGTTATCAAGTCAACCGACAACTCTCACAAATCCTCACAATGTACATACAAAAGCAACAACCTTAAGTGATGGTCCTCACGTATCGCCTCCCTCAAGTGCTCGGAATTATCACCTCTCACTAGGCCACCGACGCCACTCCTCTCGGTATCGACTACGTCCTCACCACACACTCCTCTCGGTGTACAAGTGTATTACAAAGTGAACTTCACAAATTAAGAACAAATACAAAGTGTTTGTTCTCTACAATGAATGAGAACGAATTGTAAGCTCACTCTCTAAGTCACAAACCCACAACCCAAATTATACTATGAATGTAAATACGATAAGCTCAATAGGTTGTGTGTGAACAAAGGGACTCAATAAAAAACAATTTAACTAAACTCAATATAAATCTAGCTTATGGAAATTATAAACAAAATAATAAATAGCTAGAATGAGTTTAGGAAAAACTTCTCTAGATGATAACAAGAGAGAGGGAGAAGAGTGATTGCTCAAACACCAAATGATGATCTCCACTTGCTCTTGTGAAATTATCTTCACAAACCGAAATTTTGAAACAAGGCTTTAAACACCTTTAAACAAATTTAAACCCTTGTTAAACTTTCTTAAAACATTCTCTTGGTTAGTGAAAGATGAGAGCAGGGAGGGTATTTATAGGAACCCAAAATATCAGCAAAAACCCAAGCAAAAAGACCAAAAGGCCCTCAGAAAACACAGCTGGAAAAGGACAAAAAACTAGCCGAATAATGTGCCAAATTACCAAACGACCAACAATGACATATTAAACACACTAGATGCTATGATGAGAAGATCAGATGCATGTGCATGTGTGTGAGATGAAAAACCCTTATGAAGATGGCACAAGAAGGCATTAAT